TCCTCCAATAAAACTGAGAAATGCAAACAGGTTCAATCTGGGGAGCGCTTTCATCCACTGTTTGATGAAAGCACAAAATGTTTTGCACCAACTGAAGTCCAAAAATAACAGAAGAGGTGAATGTACGATCATGTGAACCCTACTCATGTCAACCTGAAACTTCATTTGAAGCTAAAACAATAAGCCCAAGGTTTTGAATTCAAAAGTAAACTTTGTAATCTTGAGATAACTGGGTCAGATCGTTCTTTGTGTTTCATTTGACTGACTTCTCATAACCCGCGCGGCCTGCAGCCAGCGGACAGGATGCCTTCTTCTGAATCTGTCATTCAGACCTCATGCACAACTGAAGAAATAATAAAGATGTTTTACTGAATGTTCTGCTCCAGGACTTTTTTCGTTGTTATAAATTAAGAAGACTAGTATTCATTTTTCAGCTCGGGTTACTGAAGGTTCTCAGAGTTTCTAAGTCGGAAATCTGACTTCCTGATGACGTATCAGAGTGTCAACTCAGAATTTCTGACTTCTGAGATTAAGGAAATGCACCAGCAGGTTAGGGTGTTGGTTCTTTGTTTTGATAACGATATAAAATGTACACAAAAAAGGGAAGGTTGAGTGGAGGACAGGAAAGAGAGAAACGATACACTGTAAAATACACTCAGATGGGTTTGTTTTTTCCTCATCTTCAAGTTTTATTAATCTCATACTCAGACTGCAGAATAAATCCTCTCACTCTTTCATCCTGATCATTTTATTTTCTCTTCAGTCTTTTTTTTTTTTACTTCATCAGCGTGACATAACACAGCCTTCGCTCTGTCCTCGTCTCAGAAAAGTTCAAGCATTAGTCGGTAAACTGGTCTACATGTCTATTAATTGGTCATTGGTGAAGCTGAAGCAGCAGCAGCCGCCAATCAGGAGCCAGTGTCGGTGTCCATGTCGTCAGTGTCATCGCCCTCCGAGCGACAGATCTCCTCCAGAGCGAGCTCTGACAGACGGAAAACACAAACAATAAATTAGTCTCATTGAAGGTAAAAAAAAAAAAAGGGACCTAATTGATTCTACTCTTTACTCTTCAGGTAAAAGTTCACGATCACAAAAACGTGTCCTGAAAGAGTCAAAACTCAAAGAAGTTAATAATCAGAAGAATTTTTATTTAAGATGGATTGTAAATTAGTTTTACTCCAGAGAGTACATCAGGATAAATTTGGAAAAAGGGGTCAATGTTGTTTTCACACATGCACATAACTCCTGAGTATGTTCAGTGTGAATGCTTTTTTGACACGACTTTACCCAGAGCTTTTTCCTGCTGATGAACGCAGCAGAGAATATTCAGGGACAATTACTGCAGGTGAGCAGGGGTGCGGGGTTAATGCTTCAGACTCTTTGTCCGCAATCTTGGATTTCTGCAGCATCTATTTTTTTTTCCCCCCATCATGTCTGAGACTCTTCCTCCTTCCTGACCGAGATGGAAAGTTGAGGCCGTGAGGGACATTATGTGAATAAGCGACTAAAGAAGATTTCAGGGACGGGCTCGAGAAATGTGTGAAAACAGCTCGACTGGCTCTAGCAGTTTTCGGTATGGAATTTTAAAACTACAAGGAGGAAGTGTTTAGAGTTTGTACCGCTCTTACAGGACGTCACAAATATTCTGCAAATATTATCCCTTTTTTTTTCTTTTCTTTTTTTTAACTTTAGTGTGTGCGTGTTCATGTATGGATGCGTGTTCATACCCTCGCTCTCGCTCAGCTCGGGGATCTTCCTCAGCGTGTCTCGTACGGCGGGGATCACCTGGTCGTACATGTGCAGCAGCGGCCTGCAGCTCTCTGAGAAGCTGCCGTGATGCAGCAGCAGCCAGTGAAGCAGCAGCAGACACTCTCTGAGCAGAGACGCCGCCGTGCTCTGCCACCATGGCGACGAGGGGGCGGGGTACTGCTGCGAGGGCGAGGTCAGACCTGGAAAAAAAAAAAACACAACAGCCCTGATTGGTTATTGGATATATTGTTGTCATGCACAGTTTTAAAGGAAAATGTGGTGAATAACGTCAACATTTGAAATGTGAGCGACCTGTTGAGTCCGTCAGCTCCTGAGCACCTCGGAGATCCAACCACTGACGATGGAAAACAATCACCACCGTCTGAACCAGCTGAGACACACAGAGTCGTTTGTAAATACAACTTCAACACGAGGTTACATTTCACTTCATAGAGACCGATAGAGGCGGATTGAAACGAGTGTTTTACCTCGGCGTTACAGGGACAGCTGCTGCGCTGGCTGCTGCTCCAGCTCTCTGCTCGCTGAGTCATCAGTCTGCTCAGCAAACGAACAACCTGACACACACAAATAAATAAAACACAGTCTGAAAAGGAAGGACAGTCCATTCTTAAAACACAAACTTAACTATCAGAGGGAGCCAGGACAAACAAGAAACCTTTTTTTTTTTTAAATAGCTGGCTCAAGTTTTCTACTTGAAATGAGAAGTAAAGGACTCCTGTGTTTAAATATGGATTACTGGAGGTCAAGGAGACTCACGCTGACTGGTTGATTTCCTGCCTCATGCCTGGATGACTTAAGTGTTTGATAAACCTCACAGGTGGAAGCTTTTTGACTCATGTAATATTCTTTGGTTATTGTTAGAAATTCACCATTTGTGCTTAAATTAAGCTTGTTTCACTCAGGCGTTAAGGACACCATGTCCATATCACGAACCCCATGCAAGAGATGAATTAAAAACACAAATATATATAATGTAGAAATCACCAGAAGAAGCAATGCGTCACACTGCAAACTTGCTGTGGAGATGTTGTTGGTAACGAAATGACCAGGGAGTGACGCAGCGAGCAGTGTGCAGACAGAATAAGCTCAGGGTCCAGCTGTTCAGCCTGGAGGAGGTGAACTAGATCAACTGCTGACCCTCAACTGTCAAGACAATTATCCCATGAGGTCGGCGAGGGACAGCACCCCCAACACGGTGGGAGGGGCGTCAGAGAGCTTCTAAAGTAAAAGCTTGTTGGATCTCCAAAATACTCCAGTTTGTGTGAAAGATAACAAACCTTTAAAGTCTCTTCTTCTTGAATTCTTAACCACCTTTATCTGTCAGAACAACATCGTGTGATAACTTGAACTTCCTCTACGACCATAAAAAGACAACAACCCCGCTGTTATTATTTTACATCCCTGAATGTAACGACAAGTCAGTGGCTGTTTCAAAACCGCCTACTCCATACTACTATCAAACTATCAAAATGACAGCCAGTCGGTGGTTATTTAGCAGAAAGCCCGGCCAGGCTAAGCTGTTTTCTGTTTTTAGAATGAGGAAGTAAACAACAGCCCAGCTGATGGCAAAAGCCGAGACAGCAGAGCATCCACTTAAGAGTCTGAAAAAAAGCTGACCAGGATTTCCATGATTTTGAGAATCAAAAAAGATAATAAGTGGTAAGATTGTGTGGTTCGGTCTGATTGTGATTGCTTCCACTGTTACGATTGGTCGATGTTTGGGCAGCAGTAGCTCAGTCTGTAGGGACTTGGGTTTGGAACCGGGGGGGAACGCCTGTTCAAGTCCCAGTGCGGACCAAGTCAGGAAGTTGATCTGGTAGCTGGAGAGCAGCCAGTTCACTTCCTGAGCACTGCTGAGCTGCCGTTGAGCAAGGCACTGAGAAGACTGATCTGATGCATACTGTAGATTTTTCCTGAAACATCCAGGCATTTTTGGCATACTGTGGATCTCACATTTGTCCCCATACTGCATTTTGACCAAATCAGTAAACACTTCTCGTATAATAGGCGGTTTTGGAAACAGCGAGTGTGTCCCTGAAGTGTGTGTGTGTGTGTGTGTGTGTGTGTGTGTGTGTGTGTGTGTGTGTGTGTGTGTGTGTGTTACCTGCAGGTCCAGAAGAATCCAGTCTGTGTGTGTAGCCTGATTGTCTGGTCGGGTCCTGATGAACTGGAACAACTTCAGGAACACACACGGGTCTAAAGAGAGCAAATTAAAAATATTGAACTCTAAAGTGAAGCCTGAACATTAGCGCAGATTCAGTGCTCAGGAATGAAGAAAGTCACCGTGCTGGGAGCAGAGCTGCTGAGACAGAGTCTGACGGTCGGACGTGGACATGAGGACAGACACGCACTCCGAGACCGTCTGCAGCCTGCTGTCTGCTGACAAACACGCACACACCACCTGCAACACGCACTGCAACCTGAGAGACACAGAGACAGAGCGCAGACCAATAAAGAACAAGAAACTTCACAGACATGTTTTGGGGAGCTAAGACTTCTTTAAACTGGTTGAAAATGAGGAGAATATGTGACCTTTAAAGATCAAAAACAGTTAAAAAAAAAAACATGAGCCCATGTAAACATGAGCCCAGGTGCACGACCGAAACAAGACTAAAAAGTTACAGAAAAGTCAGCACGCAAAGGTCCTTTTAGTTTCCTTTATCCGGGTACGCTGATGAAGGCGTAGTGCTGAATTGTGCCAGTTGTTGTTTTGCTGTTTCTACCCGGATAAGGAAACTAAAAGGACAATTGTGTGCTGACTTTTCTGTCTCTTTTCTGACCTTTAAAGATCACCTGTTAAGTGAATCATTGAATCTGATGATTTTTTATTGCATTATCTGTGGTTATAGGGAGTTTTTACTAAACGTGTGTTCAGAACTGTAAATGGTAGATGATTAATGGACTTCAGCTTGTATATTTCTTTTCTCGTCTTCTGACTACTCAAAGCTCTTTTACACCGCAGGTCACACCTACACATTCACACGCTGATGGTAGAGGCTGCTGTGTAAAGTGACCATCAGAAGTAACTAATCCATTCATACACCGCAGACGAAGCAGTGGGAGCAACTTGGGGTTAAGTGTCTTGCCCAAGGACACATCGGACATGGTGCTGCAGGAGCTGCGGATCAGACCAGACACAACTGAGCCACAGCTGCCCCCTACTGTCCACTCAGTAGAAAGGGTAAAGGTAAACTTAATCAGCATTTTATTTCCTCATAGTGAAACTAAAAGTGATCTTTGTGAAGCAGATAAAGGTTAGTCCCTCCAGTTATCACCAGTCACTGTTATGTCACCACAGTGACAGTAAAAAAACTTTACTTTACAGCAAGATGTTACATAACCTCTGACAGTTTGTGGAAAAGTCATAAACCAAACACTCACTCACTTCCTAGTCAACCACTCCTCCACCTCCAGAATTATTCATCCTAGGTGAGTGTTGCATCATGCGTGTGTGTGTGTGAGTGTGTCTTTGATATGCATTTAGAGGAATCAAAGGAGTAAACACTGTGTTGATGTGAGCTGAAGGGTGCGTCAGAGTGCTTCAGGTTTCATGACATCTTCACTTCTCCCCTCCGGCTAACACAAACATAGAAATCAAACATTTTTTAACTACAGGCAACACGTCTGTTCGACTTTCTACGACCTCTTTCTTGATCCCAATCATCCTTCTTAATAAAATATAAATCAAGACAATATGCTCCTAGTTTGGTAAAACATTACATTGCTGATCTCTACTTTATTAAAGACACAAAATCACATACCTACTTCTGAGTGTTGTAAACTAGTTATGACAATAACACAGTCAAAATAAACCAAACAGAAGTGTTCATTCCATGGGAAGATCATTCAAATTATACTCTAAAGACTTAGAGTGCATGCACACTAGGTAAAGTTGTCCCGTACAGTGCTTAAGCTCGATTGTGACAGACATTAGTCAAACAACAAACTGGACTTCAGTGGTGAAGAGAGCTTACAGATTGCCTTGTGTGAGTGCGCCCTCTAAAGGCCTGAAATGATAATGGAGTTAAATTCATAGGTGTGAGAGATAAAGGATGGAAGAAGCAGGACCGTTCAAATAATAAATCAAGATGGTCGACAAATATACGCAGGAGGCTGTAAACATGCCTGGGCAAAGTTACTTTGTGGGAAACATTGTCATGGATTAATAAAAATCAATCAACATTTCAAGTCAGAAAATCCAGAAATCTGGATAAATCCTTCAACTGGGTTTATTGTTTATTTTCTATTTTATCAATTCAATTTCATACATTAAAAATCTGTTGTATTTGTTTGTTACTTTACACTGAATGTAAAGATGGGGATGAGATCTCTGTTTATCTTTCTTGCAGGTATCAGAGTGGACACCTTTAGGTTTGTGTGTGTGGGTGTACCTGTCAGTGTGCGTGTCTTTCGTCCTCTGAATGAGGACACACAGTGTCTTCATGGCACTGAGGACGAGCTCTTCCCTCTGTAAACTGCTCTCACTGCCACCTGTACCTGCTTCACAGAGCCGCAACACTGACTGCAGCAAGGCATTCTGGGAGCACAGACCCACATCTGCAGCAGAGCACTCCACCTACAAGAGGGAGGGAGGCGGATTTGGTTTTTTATTTCACTCAAATCTTCGTTTTATAACAATAAATCTTTGTTTTATGATTACAAACAGTGTTGTGTCGTTTCTTGAAATGCACATTTTTACGTTCAGTGGGGGAAAATAAAGGTGAATACAGGTTATACCTTTTTGTCCGTGTCTCTGCTCCGACTGTCTTTTGACACCACAGCCTGCACCACCTAAAACAACATCAAAAAGATCACACAGTCAGCAGCAGATTCAGAAAAACACTCGACAGGAAAATGATAGTTGGCTCACTCTGAAAAGGATGAGACAACGTTTTCTGTCTTTATCATCACAGGAGTGTTTCTTGTTCTCGTCTTTGAAACATGTTTGGAAGGATTTTAAAAGAGAAATGGTGAACATGAGATTCTTAGAGATCTACCAGTTTGTGAAATTCCAGTTTATTGAAGTTTTCTAGTTTGATATTTTGGTGCCTTGGGGCAGACGTTGTAGAGAGACTGTGATTGACTGCTCGGACTCAGGAGCAGTCTGCTTGGAATTATCTAGATATTTTCAGGAGTGCATGTGTGAAAACACCAGAGTGAACTGATATCTGACATTTGGAAATCTACATGTCAACAATTAGTGGCTCTGCTTAGTCGTTAAAAGTGTCTGTTGTGTCACCTCGTCGCTGTGGGCGAGCAGCAGGTAGAGGAGCCTCAGAGCAGCCAAACCCGAGTCCTCCACACTGAAACCAGTCAAACCAGTCTCTTCCAGGATCCCTGGTCCAGAAGCATGAGCAGTACGGCCCGCTGGGAGTGAGCTGGCAGCAGCAGAGTTTGAACTTGTGCTTTCAGAAGACGAGGACCGGAGCGTGTCGAGGGCCTGACAGAGTCGAGACAGGTGGAGGTCCAGCAGAGGGAGGAGGAGGACGGCTCCAGGACACGACCTTTAAACCAGAACAAGATAGACTTCAAATTTAGTTTAAATAAATATCTTCATCAGTGGATTATAAACTCTTCTGAAAGGAGGGAAAACAGACTACAGAAGTTATCTTCATTAACATAATGGTCTCATGGTGGTGTTCAGTGTTGTGGTATTTTTAAAGCTGTTCTTAAACGATGTGGCCAGAAGAGGGCTCTGCTCTCCACACAAACATTCAGCCATAACCTTCTTCTATACTTCTGGTTTCTTCAGTGAGCAGATATCAGAGTTAGTAGACCAGTAAGTCAGTCTTACCTTTTATTTCTGCCGCTGGCTGCAGCTTCTGCTCGGCTCTGACTCAGCATGTTGAGTCCAGTTACAGCCAAACTCTGGACCAGACTCGGAGCAGCTCTGGGAGCTCCACCTACACTTACACTGGCTGCAGCGTCAGAGGGAAAACCTCCTGACAGTCTGCTGAAGACACAACATAACAGCAACAAAGCACAAAAAAACACCTCTCCATTAATCAACTTGTTTCATTTATGGTTATGAACATACTGCTGTAATAAACATGTTTAACAATGCACTGTGTAACACATATTCACTTCTCCCCCTGTTGTCATGGTTACAGTGCTGTTTTTTTTTACCTGGACGTCAGGTGGTTGTCCGTTAGACTCATGGACAGCAAGTGAGAGAGGCCGAGGCTGCTGGGAGACAAAGGCTGCTGCAGCAACAACCCCAGCAGGACGCCACCTGGAGGACAAAACCACACACACAAACGTACAAACACAGTTTTCTACAGAGGAGATGACATATTCTGACATTTAGAAAAGCTGCAACTATAATAGGCCCGACATTTCCCATGATGCAGCTGGACATTATCTTTCATCCATCCCTCACTGCTGGCAAATGTCTTCATCTTTAAAATGCCACGGCATGAGATCATAACGCAGGTTTTCTGTCAAATATCGGAGAAGTCAAACCTAACAGCCATGACTACACGGTGGTACCTGACCAATCATCACAATTGATGTGATGCCGTTGCAAGGGAGAGGGGCGGGGCTAGACGACAGCCGCAAAGAAGACTGTAAAGGATAAAAAAAAAACACACAAAAAAACACTTGTTCTTTTGAACTGAACACATTTTTCCTTTGTCTCATAGTTTATTTCTTAGGAAAATGTTAAAAGGAGTTCACACCCATAAATAAATAAATGAAACATTTGTTTTATTTTTATATGAATAGGTGGAGCGTTATCTGTCAGATAACCAAACAGATCTGACTTAGTTTCAGGTTTAGTGTTTGCATGTCTTCTTCTTGCAGAACCTGCTCTGCAGACAGGCTCACCTCTGTGTTGCACGTGTGCCGGTCTGACAGACAGGAATGGATCTGGGCGAGTTACTTCCAGTCTGTCTCCAGATTTGCTGCTGGACCCCCTGTCTGCAAGAAAACACACAAACACACACGTCAACGAAAGTCCTGAAGAACAGACATCGTCACCCTCATTACCCAACCCACCGTCTCTCCGCGTCTTCACCGGGGTCGTTCTGGTCGGGATGCTGGCTCCAAACATCTCCTTGGTGATGAAACCGTTTGCTGTTGGAGAGGACGAGTTGCTGCTGCTCCCATGATGCAACTGGGCCAGACTGCTAAGTACTTTAGGACTGAGAGAGAGAAAAGAAGATAACCAATAAGATTTGAGTCTGACACTGATCAGTCAGTCAGTCAGTCACACGTCTTGTTCACATTTGCAGAAAACTTCACTTCTCAGACTTTATTTGGAGTTCCTCCTCACAGCCTTCAAGTATTTTTCCAAATGAAGTCTGAGTGAGCTGAGAATTCAGCTCACTCAGACTGAGAGAACGCAGCAGGAGAATTCACCTTGAGCGAGTAGGAGGTGGCGCACGTAATTAAACTCCTGCGTTACGTTGTTCTGTTTTCTGTCTTCTCCACTCTTTTATTCATATTGTGACATGAGATGAAGCATTGACACATTGACACTCTTAATACTCTGTTGATTCGTCAGCTACTTTCGCATTGTTCTTTGTACGTCATGTATTGCCTCATGAGATCCCCCATGGTCCCCCCTCCTGTCCGACAGGGATAACCTCCTGCTGTGAGGTTGATGTGTGAAACAAGTTTAGGTCGCTTTCAGGGACAGTCCTCTAGAAACGATCAGGAGTGCATAATGTGAAAACGCCTATACATGTTTGTTTTTCTGGAGCCACAGCTGGCACCTATATTTTAATCTTGACTCCCTGACAAATTATTGCTCCCTTGAGTCTTGTTTTACTTTTTTTCTACACCACAAACTCTGTAGCGTTTTTCACACACTGTCTTCAAAAAATGTCTTGAGAATTTCAGACAGCCTGCCCCTGAAATGATCATGAGTTGCCTTTTCATAAATGTCCCCCAGAGTGTGAAGTTTGGAGGAGGCACTGTACTGACATTTGTTTTGGCCTTTGAATCAATGCTCCGTGTAATTGGATGTAATCACAGGATGAACCAAAGACCGGAAAAGAACATACCGGTGATCAGAAAAGAGAAACAGTAAGAAGCAGCGTTGTTATGGTCACAATGATCGAACCGGTCGTACGATTCAAACATCATCAGCCCCTCCCACTTTCTTAAGGTGAATTTGTGTAGGGCTTAAACGGGCATGCATTATCTCGTCAACAATTTAAAAACCAAGGATATTCAGTTGACAGTGGAATAAAAAGGGAAACTTATAAAACAATAAATTCAAAATAGATATTTTGACGATGACCTACCTGTTTCTAGGCAGCGGTGAGGCCGTCTTGTTTTTGTCTGTACTGAGTTTGGTCTTCATTTCATTGATCTCTGCTTCTTTAAACTGCAGCTCCGTCTGCAAAGACTGGACCTGGAAATGGACAACACGTCATAATCAGGCTATTTTAAGGATTTTATGTACTGCATGTTCGTGTGTGTGTGATGTTCACCCCCCCCTCACCTTCCTGTTGAGCTCCTTCTCTCTCTCGCTGTGCTCTCTCTGCCTCTGAGTCTCCAGCAGGATCTGGTTCTGCCTCTGGGCCTCCTTCTCTTGCTGAGTTCCTTTCAGAGAGTCCCTGAGGACCCGGATCTCGCCGCTCTTCAGCACAATCTCCTCCTCCACCTCCTTCAGCTAATGACACACACACAATCACAAATACCAGATTCATCCAGAGTCTGTTCTCAGCTGGCACGAATCACTGAATGTATAAATATTATAACACACTGCTTTGATTTGAGAGATCCTCACGCTGGTCCCATCATTGATATCTTTACACTGTCCTACATGGTGTGCATATCAAACTTTTTGGGTCCAAATATAAATGTGTTGCAAAAACTAAAAAAGAGCGGTTCAAACGTTTTGCTATCTGTGATGCCATAAAACAAACTGGGTAATGTTTGTTTCCACTACATTTTTTACTGCCATTTTAAGAGTTTGGATTTATTTTTAAAATGTCTGTGAACCTCACCTTCCTCTTTAGCTCTGTATGCTGAGCCTCCAGCTGACTGTGGGAGTCTTCTCTGTCTGACCCGAACTGCTGCTGCCTGCTGCCTGAACACACAAAACGTCAGCAAAAAGAAAACAACAACATTATTGTATCAATTTCTCAGATTATTGTCATGATACATCCATTCATATAATTATAAATGTGCCTAAATATACTAAATATATGAAATATTCTCATAAAATCTCCCCTAACTGTTGTCTTACACTGATTGTATGTCCAAACATCTCAAACTGACACTGAAGCTTCAGTGTTTATCCAGCTCTGCATCGCTCTGTAAACCTTTCTGCGTTCTAACCTCTCTCCATTTTTCAAAAGCATCTCCAATATTGATCCTAGTTTGAGCACGTTTCTGCTCGTGGAGCTTATTAGAAACATGCAGAGGCTTTTTAGGTCGGGTACAATCACTTCTATCTGAACCAGTTCTCTTGCCCGCTTCCATCGCTGCAACACCTGTTGGTTTGACCTGATAACTGCTCTCATATCTGGCAAACCGAGGGGCGTCCAGAACGGCTGTGTGGGGGTGCCTTAAAACTGCCTACCTTCTCTGGTCCAAACAAATCCAGAGCATTCAGGACCAGAATCTAAAGTTAGAAGGAGGACATACTGGCTGCTGCATTGTTGTCAGAGAAGCCAGCACTTCAACATAGCATGTTTCCTTAATGT